CTCTTTGTGATAGAGAAGCCAGACAAATCATTTTGCATAGTTTTTGGATCTCAAAAGATTCATTAGCAGTATAAACTATCAAAGATTCTGAATCTAGACTATTTTGTCGGTAACTCACACTTCTTCAAGAAGTGGACTTAATGGCAACTTTGGATCTAATTGTTGCCTACTTGTATGTACCCATGATTATTTCCTCAAAACAAAATGCTTAGATGGAGATAATTGACTTTTCAGTTCCTGACTCAATTATCTCTCCGGTTAAGAGGAGGAGTTTGTAACTTGTAACTAGTCCCCTCTCAGGTCCAGGTGAGGGATTATCCTGTTTGTGTGGGAGTGTCAGGGGTGTGTTTAATGTGTCCCTGTATTGTAGAGTGTAGCGGAGAGGTAGTATAATCCACAGTATCTCTACTGGTAGACAGGAACAGCATACAATAATCCAAGAAAGCAAGTACAGCATATAATAATCCCGGTAGCGTTATAAGGATTCTTCCTTCCCAAGAACTAGACGACACATAGGCTGGGCATCAACTGAGGTTTTATTCACAAGCTCCAGTATTTATGTGGTTCCCCATGCAAGGGGTTTCCTTACTGACTTTACAGGGGTTGTACAGTAGGGGACTACATGGGGAACTTAACACACAGAACATTTATCCCACCATGCACAGCTGTACGAGAGGGATACTCCCACTAGAATATCCTGTTAAATGGATTATCCCTCCGTACAGCAGAACTGACTTTTTAATTAAAAATCCATAACATATATTATTCGTGCCATTGTACCGAATGACCGTTCGGCAGATAGCTTGGGTCTGAGCGCATACTTCGTGAAAATACCGCTCAGATCCCAGCACAATTAGCCGAACGCCGCACGAAATACACTTTAATGTAAACTCCTCATAAAAAAGTCATGAATACACATGTAGAGCGAAAGTACAGAAAGACCGTGGTCCCGAATGGCCTGGAAGTCCAGCGGTGTTTGTGCCGTCGAGTAGCTGATTTTAGTTCCAGGCGCATGACGACCGAACACCGCTGGGCTAACAAAGGATCCAAGATGGTGGTCGGTATCCGAACGGCGGCCACCCTGGAAATCTATTAACATTTCAGGCAGTCTTAAAGCAACAATATCACATAAAGGTAAATACAGTTTTAAGTGGCTAGGTTTGCCACATGAAGCTCTAATCACTAGTCTGCTGGGAACAGGAGAGCTATAATTCGAGGATTTTACAATTATCATGACGGAAAGTTCCGGAGGCTCCTATTATGCTGTACTCTTTCTTTAATACCCTCAGCAGCAAAGAATACATTATTGAAGAAAAATAAACATTTGAAGAAAAATAAACATTTGAACTAGGTATAACATCATGGTGACAATGTCCGCCTAGCAA